CATAAAGAGAAGTCTAAGACTAAATACATTAATACTAAAGCGTATACTTGTACTTTGGTATAGGCTGTTATTTTTTTTTTTTACTTATTTCTGTCACATAGTACTTAAAATATCTTCATCCACATACAACATAAGCCGATGCCATTGATTCATATCAGAATAAGATTCCTTCAGTTTCTTCCTTATGATGTTTTTTGTATCTACCTACGTCTGTAATGTTTAAGCAATTTCAACCATTTAAATATCAATATTTGCCCTTTTTTTTAGGACATGCAGGCTACAGCTTTTCTTATTTTAGAAAGTATCCTGACCATCACACTACCATGTTGATGTTTTTTGTTTGTTGTATTTTTTTTTTAAATAAATGCTATGTTAGTGTTACACCAGATGTAACATAAACCTCATCGTCTCAGTTCACAAGTAACTGCTCCTCAATTATACTATTTTCATAATACTATTAGATTCAACATATTGCATTACAACTGTATTATTGCAAAGAATGCAACAGTTGTAATTTTTACTAAGCTTTTTTGTTTTTTAATCAAACGGTAGTCTTGCTTCCAGCATTTCAGTCCACAAGGTGGCGCCACCTCCCAAATACTGATAAGTTTAATTATTTGTCTTACTAGCAAGTAATTCGTTGTGTTGAAAGAAAACTGCAATTATTTTTTGGAAACTTCTGGGTGTAGTCAAACCCAGCGATTTGCCCACTTCTGCAGTTGTTGTGATAGCCATAAAAAAATCAATAAGATGTTCCAAATAATAGAAATATCCTTTATTCTCCCACAATAGGGGGAATACACGTGTTTATCTCCAAATAGAATTTTTTCTGAAAAAAAGTAGTATGAAAAATGTATATTTTTCATTAATTTCATTAATTTGCATGTTTTCCCCAAACAGCCAAGCGGTGGTGTGTTTTGGGAGATTTTTCTGTGCTGATAGCAGAGAACATTGAGGAAGGGTGGGGGGAAAGTGAGAAGCAGATAAGAGGCCAGGGGGGAACGCTTGTGACAGTTTTCTTAAAGTTTGTTTTTGGAGTAGGCTCACTGTTTACTTATGGGTTAAGTGAATTGTTAGAGGATGGAGATTTCCAGTCAAAGCAGAGTCAGGAAATGTGTCTGCAGAGACACTTGAGTCTACATCAGACGCAGATGGGAGATAGGAATGCGGTCCTTTATTCAAATAAGCTGTTTAGACATGATGCGGCTTCGGACGTAACATTTAAAGGATGTTCTTTAAAATGCCTGAGTTTGAACATCTAAGAGATCCATCCTGACCACAGCATCACCGTCCACAATGACTGAAGATACTTGGATGATGCACAGAGCATTCAGAAAGTGTTCACGCTTTACTTTTCCCACATTTTGCTATGTTACAACCCTATCCCAAATGTTATTAAATTAATCTCTTTCCTCAAAATTGTACTCACTAATATCTCATTATGACAACAGAAAAACAGACAACCACGACAAATACACACTTGCATTCATATTCACAGCCTTTGCTTATTGATCATCCTTGAGATGTTTCTAAAAGATGGAGTGAACCTCCACCTTTTAGAAACATCAAATTCAGTTGATTGGATTTGATTTGTTAAAGTTCACACCTGTCCATATGAGGTACCATAGTTAACTGTGCAGGTCACAGGTCAAACACCAACCATGAAACCATAGGAATTGTTTCAAGACCTCTGAGACAGGATTGTCTTCAGACACAAATCTGGGGAAGGATCCAGAAACATTTCTGCTGCTTTGAAGGGTCCCAATGAGCTCAGCTGCCTCCGTCTTTGGTTGATGGAAGAAGTGTGGAACCATCAGGACTCTTCCTAGAGCTGGCCGTCTAAATTCAGCGACCGGAGAGGGAAGAGCATTAGTCAGAGAGGTGACCAAGAGCCCAATGGTCACTCTGTCAAAGCTCCAGCCTTCCTCTGTGGAGAGAGGAGAACCTTCCAGAAGGATAATCATCTCTGGAGCAATACACCAATCGGGTCTGGATGGTGAGAGGCCAGATGAAAGCCACTTTTTAATAAAACAAACATGGCTGCACATTGGGAGGCACCTGAAGGACTCTGACCAGGAGAAACGAAACAAAACAAAACGGTTCAATGTCCTCCAGGACAACGACCCAAAGCACAAGGCCAAGATTTCAAAGACTTCAGAACCACTCTGGGAATGTTCTGGAGGTGCCAAGCCAGCCCAGAGTCCAAACTTAATTAACTGAACATCTTTGGAGAGATCTGAAAATGCCGGCACAGAGGTCTCCATCCAACCTGAAGAAGAATGGACCAAACCGGTGGCATTATATTTAAAAACATGTTGAGACTGTAATTGATGTCAAAGCTGGATCAACAAAGTATTGAGCAACAGCTGTGAACACTTGCATAAATGTGATTACTTGGCGTTCTATTTTTAATAAATTAGCAAAAATCGTCATAATGAGGTTTTGGTGTGTAGAATTTTGAAGAAGGAGAATAACTTGATATCATTTGAAGGTGCGTGTGAATGCTTTTCGGATTGGACTGTATCTACCAAAACTTCATGGGAAAAGTGGCAAAGTGTGTTATACTTACAGATTTCAAATTAGATTAAATGCCCTTCAATTAGACTGTTTCTCCTTAAGTGAATCGGTTGGCACAGTCCGTCTTCATGAAGTCAGAGCTTAAAATCAGAGCGCTCCTTCACTTTTCTCTTGGAGAGGTGACAATCTGATGCCAGAGACACAGCCGTGATGCTTCACTGGCGAAGATCAGAGCAGGTCCTGCAGCCTGGTGTTTACCAGAACTGACCAGAGGAAGTCTGATAGCCATCTCACAGGATGTAACACTCTACTTTTTTCATCAGGGATCTCTCTATCTTTCTCCCTCTCATGCATGTGCATTTCTACATGCTTTCATGCATCGTGCAAGACAGTGACGCACGTATACGTTCACTGTCGGCTTGTCCTGATGTAACCCAGCAACACACACACGCACACACACACATTTTGTCTGCTTCTCAGCAGCGGTCTTTCCTATTGCCAATTGACCCTGAGGATTACAAGCCATAGGTCTCAGGGGCTAAAACAATTCAGACATGCACATGGCATCCTGTGATAGATCCAGTATTAACACCTGACACCTCGAAAACAGGAAAAAAGCCGGTAGACAGATGCACTGGGGTGTTTGGAGGTGGAGCATGAGCACGGCTATAAAAACCCTGAGAAGGAAGTCTTGGCTTCACTCTCATGAGAAGGGAGACCGCCTCCATCATGTCGTACTATGAGGTAAGCTTGGCTCAGCTGCACACCACAACTTTCAGAGAACTCTCACAAATCTGGGAATAAACCTTTCTTCATCTTCTATCGTGTGCCTTCAGCACGTCTACCTTGACTTCAACGACACAGGCTCTGGCTCTGGCTTCTGGGACGATGGAGAGAACCTGGAAGAGTCTTGCAATGTGGAGCACGGGATGACCGCCGAGCTTCATCGGGTCTTCTTACCCGTGGTCTACGCCATAATCTTCGTCTTGGGCATAACCGGAAACGGTCTGGTGGTCGTGGTGTTGGGCTGCCAGCGCAGGTGAGAGAGGACGGGAAAGCGGGAGCAGGTGCACTGAGAGATAAAATGAGTGCATTGATCAGATTGTTTCTATGCCTGCAGGTCAAAGTGCAGCCTGACAGACTGGTATCGACTCCATCTCTCTGCTGCCGACCTCCTCTTTGTTCTGGCACTTCCCTTCTGGGCAGTGGATGCAGCCTTGGATGACTGGCGTTTTGGAGGGGCCGCTTGCATCGGCGTGCACGTGATCTACACCGTCAACCTGTACGGCAGCGTGCTCATCCTGGCGTTCATCAGCCTGGACCGCTACTTGGCAGTGGTCCGAGCAACGGGCACAAACACCGGTGAGCTGAGGCAGCTGCTGGCACACAAGGCGGTTTATGTAGGTGAGTACCAAGCAGCAGATCAGCATTCTCCTTTACACCAAAACCAGAAGAGACATCTGAGGTCACCGTTGAAATGATAAAACAAGACAGAACGACAGACATTCATAAAAAATTTCTGACATTTGACTTGCTGGATGAAAAGTTTCATTGGGATGCCATTTGTAAAGCTAAACTGTATTTTTTTTTTTTTTTATTTTACTTTAACTAAATATTTACTTAGCACAATAAATATTAAATTTGGAGCAAAATTTTTAGTCTGAAAACTAAATATTTAGTTTGAAAGTTAAATTAATATTTTTAAATGTTTAAATATTTAATTTGTATGTAAATATTTAGTTAGCAAAATGAATATTTAATATGTAGCTAAATATCTATTTTGAGAAATACATGTTTTGCTCAGACTTACCATTTAGTTGGGAACTGAATGTCTAGCTTCCTAACTAAACATTTAATCTGAAAATATTAAATAGTAATTCACAAGCATATTTAATTTATGCTTGTGAATTAAATATTTTGGAACTATGACACTTAATAACTTAGGAAATGAATAATATAGTGGAAATATGACTTGAAAAAATAAACACATTTTTTGTCTGTATATAAACCAAATTATTGTTGTTATGTTAGGCCATAAGCCATTAAAAACCTTGGCAGAGACTGATGTAAACAGTTACATGATATGAGCATATATTCATATTTCACGCATGGCCTAGCGCTCACCATCTGTCAACTATCAGAGGGATTGAAAAAAACTCTAAACAAAACTAAGCTAATCAACATCCTCCTCCTACTTCCTGTCGTCTTCTTCGTCATTTTCACCAGTAATAACATCCGGCTGTTGACTAGGAAGCCAAGAAAGTGTTTCCATTGCAGTTTTACGAAATAGACCTATTTCGACGTGACTGGAAAAAAAAAAAAACAGCTCATCCTAGCACGATTTTTTAAAATTTTTATCGAAAACCGTGAGATTTCTCGAAAACGCTTTTTTCCATTAAGCAAATTAATTCTAGTCATTTCAATTTGCACACTTTTACGGTTAATGGAAACGCAGCTACTGGAGATGATGGTGCTATGATCCACAAACCCAAACGAGGTTCTGAAACCTCATTTTGTCCTCCTCTGCTCTACAGGTGCGTGGTTGCCTGCGACCCTGCTGGCCGTCCCAGATATGATATTTGCTCGGACTCAGGAAGGCGGAGAGGGCGCCACCGTGTGCCAGCGCTTCTACCCCGAAGAAAACGCCCCCGTCTGGGTGGCCGTCTTCCACCTTCAGCTGGTCCTGGTGGGCCTGGTGATCCCTGGTCTGGTCCTTCTTGTGTGCTACTGCGTCATCGTCTCCAGGCTGACCCGGCCAGGCCCGTTGGGGGGCCAGAGGCAGAAGCGGCGGGCGGTCAGGACCACGATCGCCTTGGTTCTCTGCTTCTTCATCTGCTGGCTCCCGTACGGAGCGGGGATCTCCGTGGACGCGCTGCTGCGTCTGGAGGTCCTGCCCCGCTGCTGCAGGCTGGAGGCGGCTCTGGGCGTGTGGTTGTCTGTGGCGGAGCCCATGGCGTTCGCACACTGCTGCCTAAACCCGCTGCTTTACGCGTTTCTGGGGGCCGGGTTCAAGAGCTCGGCCCGGAGGGCCCTGACTCTGAGTCGGGCCTCCAGTTTGAAGATTTTACCCTGGAGACGCAACGGGACTTCAATGACCCCCGAGACGGAATCCTCCAGTTTACATTCCAGCTAAGGTCTCTCCGAGCTGCGCTGCCTTCTGTACATATTATGTGATAATTGTAAGAAGGTTTAAAGAAATTATGAGAATAATGAGGTGCAGTCTGCTGGTCCATGACTTCTCCTCCTCTGTAGAGTTTCACTTGTAAATATTATTCATATATCTGTGTTTAGTGGCGCAAAAACAAAAAGGGCATGCACCATATTCCTTATGTAAAAATGATTTCTAGTCAGTATTTTCTGTATTTAACAGCTGTTGGTGCATGTGTAAATGATGTGATCTACTGCACATGCACTTTCTACACTTCAGAAAGTGCAAAGTTGCGCCCCTGCCTGTGTACATATTGTAACTTTGTACATGTTTGTAATAAAATATATAAAACCAAGTAATGAAAGTGTGTTTTTTTTTGTTTGTGCTTCCTGTTTGAAACTGATTGAATTCCCTGTTGTCCATTTGGTATCTCACAGCTAACGAATATTCTCATAATACCCATAAACATAGTTCCTGTCCTTCCAGAGTCTGGTACAGAGATGAGGAAACACATTTAAAATAAATACCAAAAAGTAGCAGGAAATGTGGAAATTAAAACTAAGCTTTATTTTCCTACCTGATCTCCCATTGATAGCTGCTCTTATCTCAAAGCTTCAAATCCCTAATTGCTCTTTGGAAATACTTGTGTTGTGCTTTGTGTAACCTGTGCTGTGAGGGAGAACTGGAGAATCACAGCCGAACATGCTAAGATGGATAAAAACGTGTTGCACTGATGATGTTTGATCTCATTGACCATCGTCCGTCCCTTTACGTTACTTGGTTAGCACTGAGCTGCATGGCATCTGGGTTCACTGATGCGGGGCAAAAGCAAGGCTTCGAGAAATGAAACCGTCCCGAGAGCGGGTGTGTGATAACCAGGTGTGTTTCAATCGCAGTGTGTGAAACCGAGCTCGGTTTGTTTTGATTATATAAACAGTTTGCCTGCTCTACGTGGGAAGAGGAGGAAAAACAAGCAGGTCAAAGAGGTTGGCCTTTTCCAACACCCCCAATGCACACACATCGAGAGGAGAGCTTCCCACATTTCTTACTTCCACTTGGAAGTGACAGAAACAGAAGCTGGAAGTTCCTGTTTCCTGATGAGACGAGGAGGAGGTGATGAAGAAGAGAGTGGTGTGAGAGAGGAAAGGAAAATAAACCACATCGTGCGGAGATGCTGAAGAGAGTCGGCCGTGGCAGCCGAGTCATGAATCACCGTCTACATCCAGGTCTGAAGTGGATCGTGTATCTACAGAGCCATATGTGGAAAACACACTTACCTGGTTTGTGGTTTGCCATCCTTTCCGACCCCCACCTTCTCCCATCTGTCATGGACACATTCACGAATGCATAGGCAGAAGCAAAAACACACACAATTCCCTTCTATTCATAGTGTATTCAAAACAGGAAAGACTTCCTGCTGCTCATTTTAGGAAAAACAAGCAGTTAAAACAATTAAAACGCCCCGAGGAGGTCTGCTCTCATCAACACAGAGAGTTGCTTCACTAAACACCAGTGACTCTGAAAGGTCTGAGGCAGCTTCGCAAATAATGCCTGTTATAGCAGAAAGTTGATCGTTTTAATTGGAGTTGGAGTTTTGCTGTTTAATTTGACTAAATCACCAGTCACCTTCTCGTTTAAAGAAAAATGTTAAAGAAAAGAAAACAAAGGGGCTACATAGTTTGAAAAAAATACAAAAAAACAAAAACAAAAAAAAATGATTAGTTAGTCAGTTTTGCTATCACCTATTAGCTTTGGTCAACAAGCATCTGGAATGGGTTTTAAACCTACAGCCTTATTCCAATTTATTTCATTGCTTCCTTACAAACTCTACACAATACTACATCATGACAAAGTAAACTTTTTTTATTATTTATTAAAATATGTTAAAATGACAAGAATAACTGGCCTAATCACCAACTTCCTACCAAAGAGAAACATTCACACAGTACGATGCTCCCATTTCCATGCTGTACACTAGGGACATCGCTAGCCAGGTGATGGGCCGGGTTTGTTTTCCTCCAGAAATAAGGCCATTAAGATCAAATTTTTACATTTTGGTCTGACAATCTTGTATGGTAAAATTCAAGTGGGTTGCTTGAAATGCCTGAATAGTGGAGAGTCTTCTGGAGAACTTCATAAAGGAGAACTGCAACTCTGATTTGGTAATGATTCAGTTCTTGGTCAACATCTTTCACCAAAGTCCTTCTTCTTTAATTATGCAGTTTAATTAGACAGCCAATTAATTTCTAATAATGAAAGCAAAGTTCTTTTCAGGGCTGTTGGCAAAGCCAACATTTTCTTGCACCCTTTCCCTGTTTTGTGGTTTCATACAAAGTATGAGCTGTAAGAACTTAGTGAATTTGTTTAACCTCGTGTTTAATTCATGCTTTAATCTACTGCTGCATTTTGCATTTACTTTAGGTTTGTGGTTTTATGAACACACTGTAAGATGTGTTTTTAAATCTTTTCCCCCCCCCCCTCTTTTTTTTAAGTTCTCTACATAAGCAAGACTGCTGTAACTAAAACAAACAGTTTTTAATGAGTTCCAAGAAAAGAGCAAATGTTAGTGTATTGGATTATTTGACAAACTACATACAGTATTGTTCCATAAAATATTCAAATTACTTTGCTGTTATTACTTGGAAACTAAAGTTGTTTTTCTTTAATTAGCAGGTCAAAATAAGACCAAATGGCATGATCGGGTTTCTCCCTGAAACATTTCCCTCTTATAGGCTACCTTCTGTTTTTCTGCCTTTGCCTTCCTGCACCAGATTTGATGAACATTTTTAGCCACATACAAAAATTAAAGAAGAAACTATGCTACAAGGTGCAGAGGTTTTGAGAAAAGTCCTCACAACTGTCCTTTTTCAGGCAAGTAAACGTGCTAACATGCTAAGCTAGCAGCTTGGTAATACATAAACCTCAAACTGAATAAGAAAAAAAAAACACTGAAAAGTTGACAACAAAAAGCAATGGGATTTGGCATGTTTCATATTTACAGAGACAAAAATGAATGTAAGGAAGCTAGTACTTCTATTAGCATTGTGTTAGCATCCTGTTCTTTTATCTTATTCAGCAAAAGTAACCCTGCTGACATGTTGAAGTACCATAATACAACATAATGTATCACTGATAAGTTACACAGATCTATTTTCAAGTATTACAAATCTATCAAATTCTAACTAATGGACAAATTATTTCCTTTCAGAAATTAATACAGATCACTCTTTACACATATTTAGAATGAGGAACAAGTGTTTGTATATATTTATCGATCTTGAAATCATTTATCTCAAATAAAGTTAATTACACATAATCCAAAAATATGTTTAACAGAGGCTGAAAAACCACGACAGTACTCTCGTTTTGTATGGAGAAGAAGGAGTGAGTTTGATATAATGCTAAATTATAAATACATCCTGAAGAATTCCTAGTGGCGTAAAATTGAGGACCAGAAAGACAGTGAATCGGTTTGTCTGTTGTGAATGTTGAAACCCTTAACTTGACTAGGTTTGGTTTGAAATTTAGTGCAAAGAAGCACGTCACCAAAATAAAGACAATGTGTCACAGCCAGAACACAAACACACCAGGAAACAGCCTCCTTTAAACTTTTTTTCCCCACTTCTTGTTCATATCCTGCCTTTCGTGCAACAGTTTCTTCCCATTGTTTTATTTTTCACCTGCTTGATCTGGCCTGATGGCATCAAAAGTTTCATTTGTCTGCATGAGGAGGTTCAATGTCTGTACAAGTAGCCCGCTATTTAATCTGTGCCTGAGTCTTGCATGCTAAATGTTGCACTTTATCAGTATTTAGCACTAGATATAACTAGCTGTTGCTGGGTTTGGTCTATTTCACAATGCACGCAAAGAACTCTCCAAAATAATTGGTGATAAAACCATTTTTTAGTTTCTTGATTCTTCTCAGACATTGTAGCAACTATTGTGGCAGTGCTGTTGTGGGAGTGTTGGTGGGCTTTTGTGTTTTGCCTTACAGATGGTCGGGTTCCCTCATATTCATATGAGCTGAGCTTCCTGTCACTGAACAATTGTGGGAACACCAGAGGTCAAGACAAAAGAAGAAGTCAAAAAGGGGAGAGAGGCTGGGCTGCATCCAAATGGTCCACAATAACTTCCTGCCTTGTTCCTGGCAGGTCCGTACAATGTGACAGGTGAAACCAATAGCCTGGCAGGGGTCTCTGAGTTGACCTCAGCAGGTGTAGGCGTGAGAATTGTGTGAACACTAAAATAGAGATCAATGAGTTTCAGAGAAGAACTCATGTGGTGCTGGGACAGAAAGCTGCAGAGAGTGACCAGAGGCCAAATGGGATATTTTTTCTTGTCCCCAAAATCTGTGCAAGTATTCTTGTGCAGGGCACTGGTAGCTGCCTCTTTGGGATGCTGAAAAGAAACTTGACACAGGATTTCTTTTTCATCTTTCCATCCATTATCTATACCCACTTATCCTTGCATAGGGACTGTTACATATCACCTAAGGTCATTGGTTTTTGAGAAAGATTCGCCAGTCCTTCACAGAGCAACATCAGGACGTGCAGGACACATTCACCCCCAGGGACAATTTAGAGGGGCCAATTACACTACCATGCATATTTTTGGACAGTGGGAAGAAACCAGAATACCCAGAGAGACCCATGTGTGCACAGGAAGAAGCAAACTCAATGCACAAAGGCTCTGATAGGAATTTAAATCCAAAACCTTCTTGTCAACATTGTTGCAAAGCAATAATGTTAACATCTATACCAGTAAGAAACCAATTTGCTTTTTATTTGCAATTAATAATTAGTTCACCAATGGAGCTAGAAGAGCTCCAAATTTTCTTACTTTTTTTTTTTATCAACTAATTGTTCAAAAGCGCAGTTCCTTTCTTGCTGCCATAAGTTTTTAAAGAAGCCTGTAGTGAAAAATATGATAGTGAAACGAGTTCAGGTCAGGAGGTGTTTTATCTTAATGCAACTGACTATGCTGTGTGTGTGTGTGAGACACAGGCAGCTAACCATTATGTGGGAACCAAAACGTTGCTTTGTGGGTTGTATCGCATCAAATACTTATTTTACTAAAAACTAACTAAAGTAACTTTATAAAGTTTATAGGGATGTTATATTTCCAACTGTAGTGGCTGCCTTAATATCAAACAGTCAGGAATTAGCTTAAATATCATGTTACTCGTAACATGAGTGATCGACGCCACCAAGCGGCCGTTTGAGGGAATTGCAACAATATTTTTATGGTCCCTCAAAAACAGAATAGATTAAATTGTTTTGAATTTTTGTCGTTTATTTGCATAATAGTGCACATAAAAGAGCACAGTCATAAAACTCTACGTCGTTTATTCTAGCTATATAAATTCTGTTGTGGTATATAATAATTATTCAAATCTCCTAAGGTCCATAAGTCTGTTGTGCTATTGAAGTAGTTTGTCTGTGTTGAGCATCATGTCTAACTATTACAGTGAAACGGGGGGCACACCCACCCTGAACAGATTGATAGGAAAAAATATAATGTGGGGAAATTAATTTGTCAACTTGAAATTACAGGACAAGGTTTAAAGATCTTTTAGGCCAAAACATTTCGTACTTCACAAGAAACTCATGCATAGGGCTCTCCCACTGCAGCATGTCAGCCCCACATTTCTAACCAATCACACACAGTGCACATCACATGTGAAAAAACAATGCTATCCAGCTAATGCTTTTAAAAACAAGCAGTGAGAACTCCCTTAAGAGGGAAAACAGTTTTTGTCTTTTTATCAGTTCTGGGGAAACATCCATTTTCTCTAAAACGTTTGCATTGTGCCATAGTTTCTCAAACTATTGATGACTGTCTTCACTGTGCTACGGTACAATCCCTGCTGGTAGCTGCGTTTTTAAACTTTGCAACATTTCTGCAAACCGTGGCTTTAGCCGAAATGTGTTTATATTAAATCAGTTTCTGTATAACTAACAGCAGCTGTGCACCCAAGAAGCTGTCATGCCAAAATTGTAACTGAAAGGTATTTCAATTAAAATACATTTCAAAAGCTAAAAGCAATAGCTTGAAATGAGATCATTACTCTTTTTTTTAAGATGTGACATATTATTCATTTCAAATGTGTCTTAATGTTTTCAGATGGTTTTGTATTACCACCCATATTAGGTGAAAAAACATTTTAATAATTACAAAAGTTGCTATTATTGTGTGTGTGTTTGTAATGTTCAAAATTCCTGATTACAAAGCAGTACATGTAGCTTTAATTTTATCTTCAGGGTCAGCAAAGTCTACTTTAAACAGTCTGAATTTAAGAAACACAGTTATTCACAGTAAATAGCATCACAATAGCTTTACTTTTGATCATTTAATGTTAATCCATACATTTACATTTTAATGGAAAATTAAAATAAATGGATGGATTTCCGTGTATTGTTTTTATATTAATATTCCTCAAAGGCACTGGAAGCTAATTGTTAGTTTGGTCCTGAGCCATTCTGAAACCTGTTATGTTAAATAAATATAATAAAACTTTAACAGTCGTTTTCTTACGGAGCCCTCCAGGGGACATGGGGATTTTTTTTTTCTTTTGCGTTCCCTCGCAAAACTTTTGCGTTCCCTCGCAAAAGGTTTTGCGTTCCCTTGCAATAATCTACTGATCAGTTCATGTGGCATAATTGATACTGTAAGCCTTTTTTACTGTGGCCGCCGTACTTTCTGCTTTAATACAAGCTTATAAGGTTTTTCCATGGACTATTGAGTTATTATCGCGGGGTAATAAGTCATCTGATTGTGTCTCTATTGTGTTCATAGTCTGAATGGTTTAAAGTGCTGCTTTCTGTGCCGTTCCATCTGAGCCTTAACAGACTAAACAAGCAGTAAATAAATCGATTTTCAATCAGTTTTTTTGCACCAACTCGTTAATAATAATAAACACATTTTCACTGAGGCTCTATAAGAGCAATATGAATGAAATAAGAAATTATTGATATGACAGGAGCAGCGGCTTTGACACCTGGTGGTGGGGGTGTCGATGTGGGCGTGACTGTCATGAAGTATGAATGGGAAGGTGACGCTGCTGGCTCTGTGTGTATGAGGAAGCGGGTGAGCTGGGTGGTCAGTCCTCGCAAAGTTTGGAGCATAATAAAAATTAAATAAATCGATAATTGTGACAGAACAAAGAAGAGGTTTGGAGTTGATTGATACACGGACAGATGAGATTCCCCGAGTTAATCCAGTGCGGCCGTCTACCACCATTAGTTTGCTGTGTTTTATAATAATAAAACGTGTTTATTATTAACGCTTTGGTGCAAAAAACTAATTGAAAATCGATTTATTTACTGGATGTTTATGTCTGTTAAGGCTCAGATGGAACGGCACAGAAAGCAGCCCTTTAAACCATTCAGACACGAACACAATGGAGACACAGTCAGATGACTGATTACCCCGCGAAAAGAAAAAAAAATCCCCATGTCCCCTGGGGGGCTCCGTACCGTAGGAAACACACCGCACCGCGGTGAAAGAAAAAAAAAAACGCAGAGGAACAACCCGTCATTTGACGTTTCATCCTCTGTTTGGCTACAAACCGGAAAAATATCTACACGGCAGCTCCGATTGGCCGAGAGTGGCGCGCCAAACGTCACGTGGCCTAACTTTTCGCGCGAAACAGTCCTCTGTTGTCAGCGGGGGAGCAAGCTGAAGAAACGGAAGAAGAGACGAACTGTCCGCTGCAGAAACCTTCTTCTTAAAGTATTTTGCCTACAGTTTTGAAGGTGTTGCATCATGGACGTTGCCACAGCAACCGCGGAGAATGCCGGGACGACCGTGAAGGACGAGCTGGCTGAAAAATGCCAGAAGTTATTCCAGGCCTTCTTAGAGGAGTAAGTAGAGGAGAAGATGAGCAGTAGGTGCTGCATTGTGTGTGGGCCTCTCGCTTGATCGTAACAACACGTGGTGTTCGTATTTGCGACGACGGAGGCCTGCACGGCTGTACTGATGCGAGTTTTATGTTCTGAGCAGGTTTCAGACCGGGGATGGGGAGGTGAAGTATGTGCGGGAGGCCGAGGAGCTGATCAGGCCCGAGAGGAACACCCTGCTGGTGAGCTTCCTAGACCTGGAGGGCTTCAACCAGGAGCTGGCCACCACCATCCAGGAGGAGTACTACAGGTAAAGCCTACATTCATTCACAAGCTACTGGATTTGTAACACAACCAATACGGAAGTTGACGGAGCTGGGGGCTGGAATCACCAACCCATCTGGAGCAGCCGCATCCATCATCACAACTCCAGACTGATCAAGGTCTTTAATCGTTTCCAGGGTTTATCCCTTCCTCTGCCGGGCTGTTCGCAACTTTGCCCGGGATCATGGGAATGTTCCTCTCAACAAAGAGTTCTACGTCGCTATTGAGGATCTGCCCACCAGACACAAGTGAGACACTGTCCAGTCCTGAATCAGCTGGTTTTGAGGTGAAAGCCATTGATTTACTGTCTGTAACGTAGGATCCGTGAGCTGTCCTCCATGCGTATTGGCACCCTGGTGAAGATCAGCGGTCAGGTGGTGAGGACGCACCCGGTCCACCCTGAGCTGGTAAGAGGGCTCGTGTCACTTTGAGGTTTTTGGCATTTTGTCCACGAACCTAAACGCATTTTCTGCTTCCTGTGTGTGTATTTTTTTTTTTGCAGGTGAGCGGCACCTTCCTGTGCATGGACTGCCAGGCGGTGATCAAGGACGTCCCTCAGCAGTTCAAATACTCCCCGCCGACCATCTGCAGGAACCCCGTCTGCAACAACCGCTCCCGCTTCCACCTTGACACGCACAAATCCAAGTTCATCGACTTCCAGAAGGTAGCGTGAAGGAGGTTTCGCGTTCCCAAACCATTCCCGGCCCGCAGGCATCTGACACGTTCTCGCTCGTGCAGGTGCGGATCCAGGAGACGCAGGCGGAGCTGCCTCGAGGCTCCATCCCGCGCTCGCTGGAGATCATCCTGAGGGCGGAGGCCGTGGAGACGGCTCAGGCCGGAGATCGCTGCGACTTCACGGGGACCCTCATCGTCGTGCCGGACGTCTCCCAGCTCAGCACTCCTGGTACGGGTTAAAACCCCAGGCGCTGAAGCACTTCTAATGTCACCTTGTGGACTTTACTGACCGTTTTTGTGGGTTTCATCTATTTAGGCCTGCGAGCGGAGACCAGCACTCGTGTTCCTGGACGCCCTCAGGGGTTGGAGTCGGAGGGGCTGAGAGGACTGAAGGCCCTGGGAGTGAGAGAGTTGTCATACAGACTGGCCTTCCTGGCCTGTAACGTGGCCCCGACTAACCCACGAGTAAGAAACACACACCAACATCCTCACTAGCAATGTTTTGGTGTCTGGTGTAACTTCTCCAGAGTGTCAGCGCTTTCTTCAAAAAATAATTTTCAGTCTTAGATTTAAATATCTGAGATACAAAATATAATAATAGAGTTCATTATAAATAAAATCTATTATTTTTATGTATCTAAAATGAAGGGCATAAGATTAATAAAAAAACAAGTTGGCCTTTAATACGTTAATCACAGGTCTTAAATGTTATCATAAAATGCTCAATCTTGTATATGTGTTTATTTTCCTTTCTCTTTCACGGGACTTTTTGTCTGGCAAAAGTTTGTCTTGCTTAGACTTCTTCAGGCTACCGGTATCTAGCTGTTAGCACATCCATGCTAGCTAGCTAGCTTTTTTCTTTTTTTGGGGTCTTAAATTTCATTCAAGGTGACACTCAAGGTCTTACAAAGTCTTAAAATCGACTTGCTGAAACCTGCGGACACCCCGTTCACCTCTTCCTGTTTCAGTTTGGAGGGAAGGAGCTGCGTGACGAGGAGCAAACGGCCGAAAGCATCAAGAGTCAGATGACGGAGAAGGAGTGGGAGAAAGTGTTTGAGATGAGCCAGGACAAGAACCTGTACCACAACCTGTGCACCAGCCTCTTCCCCACCATCCACGGTCAGACCTCCAGCCTCCACTGGCCATTTTTTTTTTTTCTTCCTTCCTCCAGGCTTCTGACCTTTCAGCTGACTGCTTATGGTTGATGTTTAAGGGAACGACGAGGTGAAGCGCGGCATCCTGCTCATGCTGTTCGGAGGCGTTCCCAAGACGACCATGGAGGGAACCTCGCTCAGGGGAGACGTCAACGTCTGCATCGTCGGAGACCCGAGTACCGCCAAGAGCCAGTTCCTCAAGTATGGAGCATGCTTGGGGGAAAAAAAAACATCGACTCGCCTTTATTCAGACTTTAACCGTCTTATGTATGTGTTTGTGTGTTCGCTCAGGCACGTGGAGGAGTTCAGTCCCAGAGCCGTGTACACCAGCGGCAAGGCCAGCAGCGCCGCGGGTCTGACTGCCGCGGTGGTCCGCGACGAGGAGTCCCACGAGTTTGTGATCGAGGCCGGAGCTCTGATGCTGGCCGACAACGTGAGGGCTCAGGAGTTGGTACGCATCTCATTGCGCTTCGGCAGGACGTTCTGTACTGAAACGGGCCGTGTTTGCTCTCAGGGCGTGTGCTGCATCGACGAGTTCGACAAGATGGACCTGAAGGACCAGGTGGCCATCCACGAAGCCATGGAGCAGCAGACCATCAGCATCACCAAGGCTGGAGTCAAGGTGACAAACGCCTCAGACGGTTTCACATTTTCTCTCAGTAGGCAGCGAATCAGTTACGATAAATTGAAATTGGATTGGTTTCCACCCTAATAAATATTTTTTTGAAGGGTACTTTTGTTTGTAATTTATCGTATTTGTGGTTTTGGTTGCAAGTGTTTTTTTGTTTTTTCATTTTTAGTTATTGATTTTGACCATGTTTTATTTTGCATATCTATAAATATCTTCCAGTTCCATTTTTTTTGTTCATTGAGAAGGTATCCTTCCATTGTTGTGCCATTATCAATACATTACTTGAAAATGGTCTCAAAACAATAATATTATTATTTATCGCAATCCAGCTAACAATTAATTGACAGTTATTTCAATAATCATTTCTTCACAATTAATTTGATTAATCGCCTCAACCCTCATGAGGATTGTTAAGGAAGAAAATTCTAAAATAGGTTAACTTTGGAAAAAGTTTGGCTCTCTCTTCCTCTGGATCCCAGGTCCTCTCGGCGGGCCACGTGTAGCCACAAGGAAAACAACAATGTGTGTTGACGTCACAGAATTACAGAGTTTAATCCAATATAAGACGATGCATAAACTTACACCAGAAACTGCAGAACAACGGAGACATACATTCATTTACCTGACATAAATGGAAAAGAAAGAAAGAAAGAAAAGCAAAGACGTGCAAAGACATCTTTGGAGAGTTGCAAGAGCAAATCTAATGTGTTACTTCTGTGTAGAAAGTTTTATCTTCTTTTCTTTAATTTATTCAAATAAGGTGTATCTTTGCTCATCCAATCCAGGAGCTATCTCTGACCCCTTATCTGAAGCCTAAAACCCCTGCAGTGTTTACGGCCTTTCACAAATGAGTGCAAAAAGCCAGAACCTCCCCTGTACTGCTCTCCACACAGACAAAAGGCAGTTCAAACAATCCTAGCAAACCATCCGCTGCAGCCACAGGCAAAACAAAGGTCAACAGGCCAGAATAAGTCACTGATTTAAAACCACAATTTAGGCCATTTGAATCAAGACATGTTAAGTTTTAAAACTAGCTTATTTCAAATTTATTTTCTCAACAGGATCTATGATGGACTCCCAAAGATTCAGATTAAGTGCTAAAAAACACACCGGTTATTTTCCTTCCATTTTCAAGTTTGTATTTTTAGTTTATCACCTAAAATACTTTAACTTTGCGGCTGGAATGTTAAAAGTATCCCAAAACATAGACGTAGAGTCGAGGAGTCAGAAGATGAGACGCATTCCTGGGTCCATGTGGTGTTGAATTATATCTGGGTCCGATTGGCTGGAAGCGGTTTCAGACTCGTCCTCTTCCCGCCGCAGGCCACCCTGAACGCCCGCACCTCCATCCTGGCCGCCGCCAACCCGGTCAGCGGGCGCTACGACCGCAGCAAGAGCCTGAAGCAGAACATCAACCTGACGGCCCCCATCATGAGCCGCTTCGACCTCTTCTTCATCCTGGTGGACGAATGCAACGAGGTGCGCCCTCTGCTTTTCCTGTCGCTCATGTTCTGCTGTTTGTTTTTCAAGCTGCGGCGTTCATCCCGTCTCTCTTGCATCCTGTTAATTTTGTAGGAGAAGAAGAAAAGTCGTCTGATGTAATCGACTTTTTTGTATTCCCAGGTCACGGATTATGCCATCGCCAGACGCATAGTGGACCTGCACTCCCGCGTGGAGGAGTCTGTGGACAGGCTCTACTCTCTGGACGAGATCCGCAGATACCTGCTGTTCGCCCGGCAGTTCAAGCCCAAGGTGGGCGGAGCCTAACTCCTTCCGTCATCGTTTACTTCTTGGCCAATCGTAGAAACTATACAAACTCCATGTATCACGATGTCGAGTGTCTGGTGTAACAGTCTAGCAGAAGCATTCAGACCCCTGCTGCTTGGGTCGATATGAGGGAGAAGTCACACTGCTAAATCTCATATTACGTTGGGTTTGCTTCAGGCTTGGGTCTGTTGTTAAAGTCAGTCTAAGCTCTACTAAACATGCTCGTCGTCTCTGTGCCGCGTTCCAACGCAGATCTCCAGCGAATCGGAGGAGTTCATCGTGGAGCAGTACAAGCGTCTCCGTCAGCGCGACGGCTCCGGCAGCGTCTCCAAGTCCGCCTGGAGGATAACGGTGCGGCAGCTGGAGAGCATGATCCGCCTCTCGGAGGCCATGGCGCGCATGCACTGCTGCGACGAGGTAACGCTGCAGACTGACTCAAGATCTGTTCCCCCTTTTTTTTTTTTTTTTTTCGCGCATTGTCTAATTTGCGTGAGCTCTGTGGTTGGCTCTGTCTCTTCGTGCAACCAGGTGCAGCCTAAACACGTGAAGGAAGCTTTCCGTCTTCTGAACAAGTCCATCATCAGGGTGGAGACGCCCGACATCAACCTGGAGCAGGAGGAAGAAACGGAGGAAGAGTCCCAGCAGGAGGACGGTACGGTCAATCGTTCAGTGTATCCGTGGTGGGTACGCGATGCCCCCAACCTGCTGGTTGATTGAACAATTAGATTTGGTATTTTGTGCTTTTTATGTCGGTTCAAAGCCTATAAGCAGGGATTTTTAATGCAGAAATATTTAGCCACACTGCAAAAAGGTCTTTGCTAAACAAGTGCAGACTATTGACAAGTTTAGTGGAAGAAAAAAGTGTGGCGTTAAAAAAACCCCCCAAAACAATTAAAAGTATTGAGCTCATTTTAATTTATCGTGTGACTAAGTGCTGGATTACAGTAACACGTTTCCCTCTGTAGGCAACAACATCCCAAACGGAGTGAATGGAGTGAACGGCCACGTGGACGGCGTCAACGGCCACGTGAACGGAGACGTCAACGGACACGCGGACCTCGGCGCTCAGCCCAAGCCGTCTCTCCGTCTGTCTTTCGCCGAGTACAAGCGCATCTCCAACCTGCTGGTGCTGCATCTGCGCAGAGCAGAGGACGGTGAGGAGAACTCTCACATTTAGAATGATTTATTCTACCACACACACACACATTGCTCATCTCTGTATCTCTGCCATCTTTTAATTCATAATGTAGCTGAAGAAGAGGAGGAGCTGAAGAAGACTGCGGTGGTTAACTGGTATCTGAAGGAGATCGAGTCGGAGATCGACTCCGAGGAAGAACTCATCAACAGGAAGGGGCTGATAGAGAAGGTCATTCACCGGCTGGTCCACTACGTGAGTCAACTTCTTACTATTTTTAACATTTTGTTAAATCCTGTTGTCTTGACGCTGAATTCTGGATGAATTTTATTTATTTTTAATTTTTCCCGTTAGGACCACATCCTGATTGAGTTGTCTCAGGTGGGGTTGAAGGGTTCAGAGTCCGAGAGCTCAGAAGGAGACGGCGTCCTGGTCGTCAACCCCAACTACATCCTGGAGGATTGAACGACGTCAGACGTGTTTTGCTGACGTTGGTCGGAGGGTTCCAGATGTTTGAGTTTATCTCTGCTGTACAAAGATTGCTTTTTGACTCGTAACAAAGTGAGGTGTTGTAAATAAACGCTGCCCGTTGAGCTTTTCTGAACTTTGTATGAACTGTATGATATACAAATACCAACACTTAAAACTTGTTTTCAAGCTGTATTATTATGACATGAAGAGTGAGGAATGTTGGTTTAATTGATAAAATTTTCTTAAACTGATCCGTGTTGGTGAAGATGCATTTCAATTATCACTTGAGAGCTTATTTGTAATCGTTTTGTGTTACTGCGTCAGTGCAGCGTAGCTTGGATTCTCCAGACTCTGTTGTGGGTTTAGGTGAGATCAGTTCACTGGCAACAGGAAACACTAGTTTCATTATGTTCTGGTTGAACTCATTACTGTCACAACATGACAAGGCCTGACATTGCAATCTAGTTGTGCTGTCTTTAATTTATTGTTTTATCCGTATGTGCACTTTGGTGTAGTTGATAGCTGTTTATAAAGTGCTTTATAAATACATCGACTTCACGATATCCACTGAAAATTTAATTATTTACAAAAAGAACATACAAACAAGCCATATTCTAACAAAAGTTTTTTTTATTAAATGGATATGTACAGCACATCTTAATCATGAGAATTCTCTACTTTGTTCCAAATCTGAAAAAAACCACAAACACATAAACACAGGGTGTGCTTTCAGTTCCCGAAAAGTTTCAAATGTCCGCTTATTGCACCAGAGTCTAAAGACTTCAGTCCCACGTTTGACGTTCAAACATTATGAGAAAAAACAGGCGAAGAAACACAAAGGGAAAAGGCCAATAAAATAAAATAAAATACAAACCTGGACCAACATCTTGGAACAAAGACAGGCCAAAAAAAGGAGTTGCTCCTCAAACGCTTTCATCACAAAAAACCCAAAGGCGGCCTCTAAAAAGCCTGATAAAATCCATGATTTAGAAAGGAAAAATCTTTAAAACAGACTAAAGATTTTATTATGACTGCGTGACGTTTGATGTGCACCAGAGGGACAAAGCAGGAACTAACACGGCGTTACAGAAAAATCCCTTGGGGGAACGTTCACGCCTCGCACACTCGGTTACTGACGCGGTAATTGATGCGGCTCCACTGAACCCATACTTCCGAGACATTGTCCGGGTCAATTCCAAAACCTGATCAGCAGAGTGGGTTCTTCTCTCCTGATCCACTCAAATGTCAAAAAAACAAAAACAGCAATAAAAGTGAAATTAAAACCTCTAGGGAAACGGATACTGTGTTCAGAAATGCTTCCCGTAAGAAGAATAAAATCCTTATGGAGCATTTCCACAAGAAATGTTAAAATGTAAAGGAAAAAAATATCTAAAAGTCAACAATGCATGAACTGATCCATTTCAACAGGTTTTTGTTTGCAGCTGAGTAAAGCCAGATTAATAGTGAAACAATATTTTTGGTTTTGTAGTAAACAATTCCAACAGAGGCAAAAATGAAATGCAAAAAAAAAAAAAAAATAGATGAGTGCGACAACATCTGTACTCCCAACAGGATGATTTAGGTTTTTCTTAGATTTTTTATTTTTTTTTATTTAGTTTTATTATTTGGCAGTGTTAAACTATAAAGTTTTAAAATGATTTAGGAAATAGAGTGTGGGACAAGAAAGCTTAAAAAAAAAAAAAACCATAAAGACAAATTTTGAAACATCTCATGAATCAGATCTAGAATGCTTATCCGAACCTTAAACAAGCTCCTCTACAGCCAGAAAGGAAAGAAAGAAAGCGAAGATCTCTGCAAAAATCAGAAAAACTAAACGACAGATGAGCAGACAGTGATGGGGAAAGTTGCCGGAAAGAGCAAGCGACGGAGGCCGGAGCGGAGATCTGAGGTTCCCTGAGAAAAACGATCCGGGTTTGTTTGCTGGAGATTTCCCCGAACCGACGGGATTAAAAGCTCGCTGTGACCTGCGGCAGGGCTGATGCGAACGACCCCTGACCCCCAACGATGAAGAGGACCGAGCGGGAAAACCCTCGTTTCACTCAAGCAGATTTAAGTCAGGCTCTCCCTATGGAAGCCCAAATGTGCCACAATTTACAAGCTAGATAAATCCTTAAATAATAGCATGTCCTTTAAAATGTAAATTAACTACAGAAATAACTTACTGAATGTGAATCCAACATGCCGTTAGTAAGAATATTAACAACAAGGACGTAATATTCAATAATTATTTCTGGTTGCAAACTTAAACATTATGACTTTAACGGCAGTTGGAGGGCAACTTTTCACAATATAATCTGACATGCTGTGAAGATTAACCAATTAAATGTTACATTAGCATTATATCAGATTGGAACAATTAACTAAAGAAATATCAGAACTTTAAAATGAATTTCACATTTAAATATGCATTTTTTTATTTTTATTTTTTACACATTTAATTAATTAGGAGCATATGAATTTGCTTATGAAATGCAACTTATTTTTCCAGACCTTCAATTATAAAACTAAATAAAAAATTATTTAAAGATTTATTTATTTAATGTATTTAATTGTGGCCCTGGGCGATCAAAGCAGGTTGAATAAAAATCAGCTCAAGAAATATGAAATTACAAAATGGACAAATCTCAACAGGAAGAAAAAAAAAACTAGGGAAAATGTTTTGTGTCGACTAAAATGCATTTTTTTTTGTTTCACGTTTTTAAGGCAGTGTTTTACCTTGGAGATCTTTCTGTAAACTTGCCTCCCCGTGGGAAATTAATTGTAGTTACAGTGATTAAATTAAATGGATTTTGTCACTTTAAAAATACTATTAAAAAAAC